CCGGAATTCCTCACTTCCCACCCAAATATTCGTGGTACCATAACCAAGACTTTTTTTGCCCTAGACAGTGACCTATAGCAATTAACTGCACAATCAGCACTGACTATTCACCACATATAAACTGCCTCACACTCTGCTGTTACAAGCCATAGCAAACACATACTCCAGATCACAGAAAGTCCTGTATGAAGTGTAAGCACTGGCTTTCAGGAACAGTATATAAATAGAACATGGCAAAAGCAGCAGTGATTCAAACTGTGGCCTGATACCTGACACTTAAAAACTCAATACCCCTCAGGCTGGCCAGCTTATGCTGATGCAGTGCAATTTCTAGCAACCAAATAAACTACACTGATGTACAAGAACAGAACAAACCATCCAATCCCAGGTATGCAGTAATTAAAAAAAAAAAACAACGTTACTTATCTGCACTTTATTCCTTTTTGCTTGTTTTCCTACCTTACCACCTCACCACGTGAAATACTGATATTTCCAGTTCCGTGGAGATTACACAGTAGAAACTCCTAATTATCTCATTTATTCCTTACCTTCCCCCACACCCAGGCTCAACACATGGCGCCAGCAGCATATTCCTTTTTCAGCCCTCGGGGAGTAAGTCTTCTCCTGCTACCAATTAGGGTTGTCAGTCCCATAGCTCAAGTGGTAAAAACCTGTGCTGTAATGCTCAAGAGTCAGGTTTCTGCTCCGATGATGTATGACGGAGAGGCAGTTGTGGAACAGTTTAAAATGCAATTTTACCTTCATCCTAAGTGTGCAACAAGATGCAAAATCAACTTGATGTGTAAAATCTCACAGATAGCTTTGGTAAAGGCTCAGATTCCAGCCAGCCACTTCAGGTGTCAGAGCTGTAGTTGCTCCAATCACATTTTTTTCTCTTTGAGATCTGCATTATTGTACAGTTTTCTGCTCTATCACAGTGTTCCCCTTCCTTTCTTTCTTGCATCTTAATCAGTATATACGTGGCACAAAAGAGTTGCATAGGAAACCATGCGTTTGTCGTCTTCTAAATCCTGCGTATTTAACATACCTAAACTTCACCGCTCAAAGGACAACAGACATTTCAATTCAGAGTAAATTAACAATCAGTACAATTTGATCTAGCCAAATTAATGTTACAAGCACTTTCACATACGAGATTTTTTCCGTTCATTGACAGAAAGCAGCCTGAGTATCCCAATTTTTTCTAAAACCCACAAAATTCACCTTATCTACATACATGAGGGTGGATCTTTACTTTGTAGTTTTCAGTTTCTGAAGTAGCTTTAACTTAATTCCACTGCCAGCAGTACTTATCAAACAGAAAACAAAACAAAAAAACCCCACACATCCTTTCGCTTGAAGCAGAAAAACAAACAAAGCTAACAAAAATACCCCCTAAGCTCAGGCATTAAGTTCTTACACTGTTGAAACCGCTGGTCCAGCGGTAAGACAATAGCATATGTTGTATTTTGTAATTTTGAATGCTGGGGAGGTGGTAAGGAATCCACATATTAAAAAGACTAACATGCTTAGTGAGGCTGTTACCTTCTCGGGGTGTTCACCACTTAGAAACAAAACGTGTGCTTGTAGATCTCAGGTCTGCATAACTGATGTGGGGGAAGGAGCTCACCAACTACTACTTGCAGTATTTCAGTACCTTTGCTGAACACAATATTAAGTTTAAACTAAATAACAAAGAACGACTAACAAAACAGAAGGGGGACACAGAAACAAAAAGTAGAGCTGTATACAGTATGGCATAGGTAAAGGAAAAGCTGTAGACAGGCAATGCTGGGACATTTGTGATATTTGCTCTCCTAAGAATTTTATCAACTGTGGTACTTCAAAAGTAAACGTAAATCTCTCCAGCAACAGGAAATGCAACCACTAAATTTCTTGAATTGCATGTTAAAAACAGAACAAAGCCCCTGTCCAACAAAGAAACACAGAGCTGAATGGAAACACTCGTGCTTTTGGAAGATAAGAACACAGTTTAAGCACTTGCAGAATCAGGCTGGAGTTTTACTACTTGTAGATAAGATGAGGTTTCAGTTAACGAAAGCTGAGAACAACCAGTTTCCGCACAAGTTTCATTTCAGAGTAAAAATTACATTTGTGGACCTGGATGCATGGTCACACACACTAGAGAAAAAAGCACTTAGCTGTGGGGTTTTTTTTTAAAAAGCTGTCAGCACAAAATCACGGAAAATACACCCACCATTCAGAGATAGTACCACGTTCTTGCAGTAATTTCTCCTATGTAGCACAGCACTTTTCCCTTCCAGATGGGATTAATTTTATTTCTATAGGAGACTTGAAATTGAATTCACTGCCCAAAGATAAAAATCTCCCTTGGTAGGAATATGCAATTCCCTTCTCCTCATGTTTCCCCCTCACCAAAAAGTGAACACAATTTTTTCTTTCTCCAATCTCAATCGTTGATAGTTAAGAATAATGCTTTTGGCACTGCTTCACTCATTAGCAAGTAATAAACTGTGAACTATAGCAATTCTGTGAGGCTGCAAAAAATATTTTGTCTTTCTGTGAGGCTCCGAGAACATACGTGGGACTGGACAAGGATGAGTTACAGAGCTGCACAAAGGGGTTAATTTATTCCTCCTGCATTTTGTCAGTCTCCTTTGACAAGAAGTATGGGTGACCTTTGGGCCAAACCAATACGTTAAATCCAATAAATTTTTTCTATGCAATGAAGATCCTAGCATACTTAGCATTACTTTTCAGCTTTTTCCTGCATGTTCACAAGTGACAGAGGGAGAAAGGTAATTTAATATTAAAAACACCAAAGATGCAGACTACGATAAAGAGAGGGTGCCCAGGAATAGAGCAAAATAGAATTGCAGTGGCACTGCCGGTAATTACGTAAATTATGAAACGAGGTCAGAACAAGATACAAAACTGACCTTAAAGAAAGAACCAGAATTTCATATCTAGCAGTTCAAGCTAGATAATCTATGGTAAGAGAAAAATGAGAGCATCACAGCAATTCTCTCTTCCATATTAGCATCTGCTGTGATTCACCAATAAAGTAGCAATCAGAAAAAAAGCAAGATGTTTACAGCCCTGTACAGCCCTCCTTATGACATGAAAACAACCAATTTAAGAGTCAAGAACGTGCATGTTGAAAAGATTTCTCTGTGACACCAAAAGAACAATTTAAAAGCTTTTGGCCTACTCTAAGTTACTATGTGAAGAAGAAGAAAAAAATACAACATATCATTTCTTTTATCTGGCATTACCATTAGTCATATTCCTTTAGTTTGTGCTTCTTGAAAACAGAAGAAAGGAAAATAAGTGTCAAGAGAAACACAGGTACAAAAATGGGATATATATATATATAACAACACACCAACAAAGACTTTTTTACTTACATAAAATGTGAATATTTATTTTTAAAATTCTCACAAAATTTAAGGGAAGTAGACATACCAAGAACTATGCAACCGAAATTACCATACTATAAAAACACTCAAAGATGCTGAATCATAAAAAATCAACCACAATCAAGTCAGACAATAAAAGGATAGGTGACAAAGGCAAAGCCAGGAGTGAAATAACAGTACTCAAACCAATGTCAACATTCAAAACCCTGAAGAAGACAGAAAATGCTAAAATAGAAAGCTAGGTGTTTATTAGATACAATAGGAAGCTAGGTGTTTACTAGATAAAATACTCAATAGGTTGAAACCTACTTCTTTCCCTGCGAACAGTTCTCTTTTGACTGCAGACCTTCAACAGCTGCTAAGCATGATACAGACACATATTTGTAAGAACTTCTACAATGTGTTTTTCTAACAGCTGACCCTTCAAACATGTCAGACAAATAGCCGTAGAAGAGCCACTTTGCAGCAGCCTGCTGCATCTTGCTCCAACTGTTACATTTATGAGATCTCTGCTTTAAAACCTTTAAGGTTGTTGTCCGAATGCCTCTTAAACACTGACAGGCTTGGGGCATTAACCACCTCTCTAGGAAGCCTGTTCCAGTGTTTGGCCACCTTCTCGGTAGAGAAATGCTTGCTAGTGTCCAGCCTAAACCTTCCCTGGCGCAGCTTTGAGCCATTCCCATGCATGCTATCGCTGGATCCCAGGGAGAAGAGATCAGCACCTCCCTCCCTGCTTCCCCTCCTCAGGGAGCTGTAGAGAGCCATGAGGTCGCCCCTCAGACTCCTTTTCTCCAAACTAGACAAGCCCAAGGTCCTTACCTGCTCCTCATAGGACATTCCTTCCAGCCCTTTTACCAGCTTTGTTGCCTTCCTCTGGGCACATTCAAGGACCTGAACATTGCTCTTAAATTGTGGGGCCCAGAATTGCACACCGCACTCGAGGTGAGGCCGCACCAACGCTGGATACAGCGGGATAATCACCTCTTTTGACCAGCTGGTGATGCTGTGTTTGATGCACCCCAGATGCGGTTTGCCCTCTGGGCTGCCAGGGCACACTGCTGACTCGCATTGAGCCTGCTGTCGACCAGCACCCCCAGGTCCCTTTCTGCAGGGCTGCCCTCCAGCCACCCCTCTCCCAATTTTTACTTGTGTCTGTGGAAATGCGCGGGTATCGCAGCTGTAACACGCAACGTTTTGGATATCGACTACGGCCTGTAAAACAAGCGAGGGTTAACAGACGGGTGACTAGCCTCGGGCAGCGGTGACCTGAGGGGAACCAGTAACTAAAGGCAGAGGGAAAACGGCTGTTAGGGGAAGGAAAATATGGGGTAATTTAAGAGAAAAGGATTAAATGACAAAATATACATCAGATAGGGCTGGAAGGGGCCGG